TGACGTGTTCCCATAGTACCTTCCTTTGCTGAACATCCCACTACCTGGGAATAGGCAGAATCTTTTCCCTAGCATCAAGCACATTTGCCTCTAACCCAGAAAAGCCTTGCCTGGTCGCCTCCTGGAGTTCTACCATTTGTCCCATGTGACCTGATGATAACTTTGATCAATGGCCAGAGAAGCCATCTGCAAAGTACTCAAGGCTTCAGCAAAAGACATCTTTGATTTCTTTTCAGTGCCTTAAATGTGCTTGTAATGTCACCTTGAGCACACAAGGATGACTACTGTTTCTCTTGCTGATGAGCTTTCAGATGATCTGATTAGAAGGCGTTTGATACTGAGCTGCACTGCCACCGGGGAGGAATGATATTCTTTCATGTCTGTTCTTTCAGGCTTTTTCTAGATTCTGTTACCGAGTTTTTAATTTATCATAGTGTGGTTCTGTGGCCTTTTTGGCATGCAACATAAACAAACACCAAAAAATTCTAATGATTTCTGGTCCAAGCACTCCAGTCTGTTATATAAATGAAATATCCTTAAAACAATTATTTCTCATTCGTCAGCAAAGCAGACCTTCCTCCTCTGTCTGTGCATGCTGTTCTGCCTCTGCCCTTTCCCCTGGTCAGGACATCTGAGAGGCAAGCTCAGATGTTTGCTGAGGGTTCAGACAGCAGGGCTTTAAGACAATTTTAATGCCACATCTTCAATACACTATGAAAAATGTTTCTGAGAATAGGCTTTCAAGAGAAACTCAGCATGTTCTTTGTTCCAAAGCAACGAAGAAATGAAAAAAAACAAACAAAAAACTTCTGTCACAAGGCAGGCAGCTTCTGAATTCTACCTCAGTAAAACATAAATACAGCTATGCCAAACATTATGAAATGGCATAAGAAGGAACTGAATTTTTGTCTATGTAGCACCATGAAAATGAAATAGAAAAAGGTGCAAATGCACTAGAAGAATCTCGAATAATTACATTAAAATATTCCAAAGAATCACAATAATTTCTCTGTGTTATGTTAGATGAGGTGGAATATGTTATTTTATTTGTTTATATGAATATGAACTATTCTTCAAACACCCTTGCACTAATATTTGTCTTTGAGTTCCCACTAGTCTCATGGTTGGTTAACTAAGACACTTCTTTCAGCAATTACAACTCCAGAGAGGCAGGAAACAGCAGAGGAACAGAATTATTCTAGAATATCATCATAAACAGAAACTCCTACTGCAGTGGCAGAGGTAGGGAGGTGAAAGGAGAGGTATTTTACTGAGTCAAGCCAATTTTCAACTAAAAAGTTGCCTAAAAGTTGGGAAACTAAGAAATGAATACATAGGAAAATTATTTCCCTCTTGTATTATATGCCTGCTATTCAGTGTGTTGAGAAATAACAAAAGAAAGGGAAAAGTAGAGTAGCTCAGATTAGACCTCCTTGGAAAAGAATGGCCTATGGTTTAAAAGCATCATAGCAAAACCAAACTTTCAACACAATTTTGCCCTTTTAGGATAAAAAAGCCAAAATTTATCACAGATATGTAACTAGCTATACACAAAAAACAGGATTTCAATGTTCAAAACTGATACTCTTTAAACTAAGGGGGAATAGTCTTCTGTTTCATTTTCAGCAGCTAATTTCACTAATATGTGCATTTGATCCTTCTCCACCCTAATTTCTAATTTGCAAATTAATCTGTCTTTATGCAAATCTAGATTAACAAAACTTTGATACTTGCCACAAATTTCAGTACACACAATGACACATAGAAAAAAAAAGTAAACCAGGCAGCTAAGAAACCAATTAACTCTAGTATCAAAATTAAGATGAAGGTGGGAAGGGAAGGAGCAGAGAAAGAATGGATGGACATTAGAGACATTAACTTGTATGGAAATGGGATAAAGATCTATCAGGACTTAACTCAAAAGATCTGGCTAGACATTAATTCCTTTTAAACACAGTATATCTAACCTGCACTTTCTTAAAACATTTGATATAGGACTATCAGAGAATAGAAAACCGGTACAGATACATAAAAGATGTATGGGAAATTTTACTGCACTGAAAGAATATATCGTGCTTAGTATAGACAAGGAATACAAGCAAAGCTCTTCCTTCTTGGCAATAATATTATTTAGCATTTGTGTGTTAATGAAATTTCTAATGAAACAAACTCTACAGGCAGTGTTAAGACAAAGGATGATCAGAACAAGTATAGCAAGAACTGGATAACCTTGAGGACTGTAGCAATATTAAGAACACTGTTTTATATGAACAGTGTTATGAAATGCCATGTCAAGTGGGCTTAGTACTATAAAAAAAAAAAAGAAAAAAAAAAAAGAAGAAATGGTCTACCAAAAACTAGAACACACTGCTGGAAAATGAGTGAGGAAGGGAAAGACCTGACTGTACTTACTGTTCTGGGAAAGACTGTAACCTGTGGATGTTAAGAAGTTGTGAAGAAAGGCAAAGGCAGATCTTGGAAAAAGGACAGGATCAATGCCATAGTGTAACAGCAGTTCCACCTGGAACACTGCTCACACTACTCGTTATCCCTAACGAGTTCTAGTTCAGCATTTCTCTTAACATACTCCTGTATGAGAAAGCTAAAAGAAACTGGCACGTTCCGTTTCATGAAATGAAACCTATGAGAAACTATAACCACTTTCTTTAAAAATGTCATGAAGGTCCCAGCAGACCTGGGGAAGACAGAGAAGTAAAAAAAAATAAAAATGCTGACACAAGCAGTTAATATAATTTTGTGCCTTCACAGCCATGAAAACAGTTGGGATAGAATTCGAAGAAGTGATAACCATCACAAGAGAGCAGTGGTGAAAGAGACATCCAATACAATCAGAAGGGCAAGAAACCAAGCTACTTTTAGCCTGCAGCTTAACCAGCTTAAAGAAGTGACTGAACTTAAGTTCCTGCATTGAATGACTCAGAAAGTCACTTTCAATCTTACTTATTCTACCTATCTACCAGCATTTTTGTCTAGTGATTAACAAAGATTAGACAGACTCAGGTTTTTACCTGAACATATGAATATATATACATTTATATAAAGAGCAATAATTTTGTAAAGCAGCACGAAACTGTTCAAAAACACAGTTCAAGTATTACTTCTATCCACATTCTTTAACAATGTTTGTTACTGCAGTGAAAGGTAGGCTATCTAGGTACAATGTTCTGATTTAAATCCATTTTACTGTTGCAGTGCTGCAACAGTTAAAAGATCCACAAAGGAGCTCTCCTACAAGCATCCTAAGAGCTGTGGTAATTTAAACTCTTACCTCTCAATCATACCATGAGTACCGTGCTCTTTATACCAAGAGGAACAACAGCTTTGAGAGCTCAATACCCTGTTTGCCAGGATTGTTTCTTGAAAGGTAACTGATCTCGCTTTAAAATTCTACTCCAAATCAGATTAAAGGGAAATTTCAACCCACACGTTAAGTCTGAATAAGAACTCCTTGAAAACTGGGGACACAATTTAATTTTAGTTTTATATAAGGATTGACCTAGGAGGTATTTCCTGGGAATTCCCAGAGTGGGTTCAGCAAGCATGACAGGCAGGGCATATCTAGTTTGTGAATCTCAGGAAGATTCAGGTATCTCAGCAATGTACAGAGAAGGCAAGACTTTGCTGAGTGTTTAAAGGACACTGTAAACAGAGAGAAAGGAAGCCCAGTGACTTTCGAGACAAGCCATATTCTCAGTAAAAACCTCTGTAAACCTGAATGTAGTTATACCAGCAGTTTTATCACACATGAAAATCAGCTTACTTTACTCAAAAGAGAGCAGGTATGAAATTTTGAATCAAATATTATCAATAGAATTTCTATAATGAACTGCAGAAAAAAACCCCAACAATCCCAAGAATCAAGATTTTATCCATTTTCAGAAGAGCAAATTCCATAACCAATTTTGTTACCTGAGTATTTTAGCACACAGTCTGGATGAACTTTAATGACAGGTAATAATTTTGCTCATTTTCTGCATGTAAATTATTTCAGACAGCAGAGTTTGAAGTTTAATTCAGAAAAGGATTTTCACACAACTTTAAATTACACTAAAAATGAATGAAACCTGGACACAAATTTAAAAAATATTCTTAAATGCTTTTGAGAAGAAAGGAGTTTAGCTGTACAAAGTTCTTACCAGACTGTAGCACAAGCTATGATTTTGTACTTCAGTACACACAGAAATCCTGCATAATCTTTTATAATACAGAAGTTACTTCAAAAATACATCATGTATCTTAAAACATGCCGTTAATTTCCATTTTGCTTACCACATTCAATTTAATAATCTACCCCAGCTGAATTACCTGTGGTTATCCTGAAAAAGGAAATGCATCTTTAAATGCTGAAATCATATTAGAGTGCCAAATAATGCATGCTAATATTGTCTTTATAAAAGTCATCATGAATTATAATTTTTTTCTGATGTACTTAGGTTCCCTAAAGGTTTTTCAGTGAAAAAAAAATTGAAATTTTATTTCACAACACAAATTTAGATACATAGAAAACAGGACAAAGACAGCAGTTATTCAATCAGTATATGTAAGAGACTGTGTTGCATGTGCTGAAACTTTAACCACAGCAGAGGGGTTCAGAAAAAAAAATCACCACAAGCCACCTGTTTCAAGGACAACTCTAACACCTTGCTGTCATTTAAAAATGGAAGCAAGCTGCCACACAGTTCAGCAGTAAAGGAGGATAAAGTTCACATGAACTCCAACAAGGTATTTGAATGAGACTTTTAAAGCTGTAAATTGCCCATCCAAACACAGAATAAATTTTGTTAATCCGTGTGCCACAAATTACTAATCCATCTGGAAAACTATTTTTTGCATGTGTTTACAAGGATGTAAATGTCATCAGACAGAAAGACAACTAGATTAATAGCATGTTAAAAAAGAAAAAAGAGGAAAAAAAAGACAGAAATAAAAACTCTGAAGCAGCTGACCACACAATAAGCAGGATCTGCAGAAGTACTTACAGCTCTCAATCTCCAGGGTGCAGTTCTGCTCATCCAGCGGGTATCTCCGTAGGTCCATCATACAAGCAGCTGTTGTTGTAATTCTAGGAGGGAAACAGAAGTGTTTGTTAATGTGTCTTGTTCCAATCTTTTCTTGATTGCACACAGTTGAAATAATAAAATATATTTCTACATATCCAACACTCCAGCTTGGTTTTACTGAAATACCATATCTGCTGGTTCCTTATAACTGTATACTAAGAGGTTTATGCCGGTCTGGTGGGTGAGCAGAGAGCCTCCCCTTTGCACGCCATTGTCCTAGTGCTGTAAGCTTTAATCATCATAAAGCAATTTATCCTGACAAAATGAACCATGAACTGTGATTTCTTTCATTTTATACTGGAGGATTTCAAGACAAAAGGAAAGGCTCAAAGAAAGGTGGCAGAAGAAAGAGGAACAGACTAATACACATAATTCATATCCTGGGTTAATACCCTAATTACTTCTTGAAACTTAAGTCTTTTTAATTCTATTCCATAGTACTTTGTAAACGAAGTATTATTTTAACTTCATGTTAGAAAGCAAACATTTTCAGGACTCTTCTCAAAACATTTAGACCCTATTTGTACCTTCAGATGACAGCAAACCTACACACAAACATTAACATGTGTCAAGCATGCCTTTTAGTTGTTGAGACAAATATCTGTGCCATGAAGAAATTTTTTACTGACAAGCCTCAGAGAGGCATATGAGCCTGAGCTGAATATGAAAAAAGCACCATTCTCAGCAGCACTTTGTTAATTTTGTTCCCATCAAGTATTAACAAAAATAAATTTTTAAACTTTATTTTTTTTTTCCCCAAAAGCATGATATACAACTTTGTATGAGTTAAAAAATATTACAATTCGGAATCTGCCAGCAGTCAAAATATGTCTTGCACACACTAACACTGCAATACTCACCAAAAGCAGCAGCTACACTTTTCTCTGTTAATCATGAAATACTGGGTGAACAATAGTTTTCTTCTCAAAATATTTTCCCCCTCTAGGAGGCTTACTGTCCTTTTGTAGTAGATACTTGGCTTGTTAACTAAGTTTTAAAAACTTTTTACATTTTTCAATCAGACAAGACAGAGAACTCTTTGATCTGGTGGACCTCATTCATTCTCCTTTAGTACCTAATAAGAGCTTGTCAGAAGCCAAAAACTACAATTGCCTCAGAGAGGCCAAAAATTCACTCAGAATGGAATCCAGCAATCCTTTCCACATGCCATACCATTGAGAAATACTGAAGTCATCCTTGCTGTCCTTTCTAACAATGATTTAGTGTCTGTTTCAGAAAAATATCCTTTTTTTTTTTTTTCAAAGAAAACAGAACAAAAGTAGAGGCAAGTTATTCCTGTAAACCTTTATTAAGTCCTACCTTTTACTTGTCTATTTAGACAAGATCTTTTAATTTTACAATCTGATCATTTGTATATATTGGGCTTTCAGAGAAAATGAACATCTTTTGGCAGTAAGCTCTTTCTTCAGTTACTACTTAGGTACTCTCAGAATTGTTTTTGAAAATATTTTGTTGTCAATGTGGATCACCACTGATGCTTCAAAAGAACACTTTCTGGAGTGAACATAGGCAAAGGAAAAAAGTCCTTTGGCTCCAACAATGGAATTCTTCCAGCTTTTAACAAAACCAGACTGCTGAGGATCATATGTTTGTTGACAGCAAATAAAAATGGAGCAAGTAGCAGCATATATTGCAAAAAAACCCAATTCTTGGCAGTTCATACTTGGTTCCTTACTTTCAAATTTGGAAGGAAAAAAATTTGATTGTTCCAGTATCTCTGTAAGACTGATCATTTTGAGTAAAACTTCAGGTAAGGTGCAGTGAGGCCAGAAAAAAATCTACAGCTCATGCTTTTTGTTTAACTAGGGTTTTTGTTTGGAAGGTCTGTTGTTTTGTCCAATGCCCTCAGTGTTTACGTACCAATGTGTACGTTACAGTCCTGCCTTGTAGAAGAATGTCAGTAGTTCATGGAGGAAAAGGCAGGAACATAGATTTACAGCCAAGGTTGAAGTGCACAAAAGATTCATGGTAAATACTAACTTGCTTGAGTCTTAAGCTTTATAACCACCTTCTCTGCATTAAACACATTCTTCCTACCAGAGTCTACCAAACCAGGGGCTTCAACATAGAATCACAGAATCACTTAGGTTGGAAAACATAGAGGCAAAACCACAGCTGTGATATCCCCATCAAAGTGTCTGTTCATACTAATGGTGGAGCTGAGCACTCACAATTCTGACATATCTTCAGCAGGATTTTTGAGGATTACAAATACCACAAAAGAGGCCAAAGGATGCAGCTAGCTAGAATAAAAGCTCTGTAGGGAACATTATCAAATCATTAAAAGACACAGCGTCTTACCTCATCAGAAAGCAAAGAAAAAAAAGTAGCACAGTAGTGAAAGTGATTGGTAGAACAGTTTTTATAAAGTCAAAACAGTAATCTTGAATAGTGTATGTAATTAGACTCATTTTTTTCATTCTTATCCATAATGCAAATCCATTGAATTAAGAAGTCCATCCTTGCTTCTCTTCATACATTCCTCACATTTTCACCCTGACTTTTTTTCACATTGACAGTAAAGTAGAAAAATTTCTCTTTCATCTTCAAAATTATTTAAAACAATTATTTAAACTAAATTATTTAAACAAAAATCTACTTTTGTTAATTCTTAGTGGTTTGCAATTAATAGTGAATAAATAGTTAGACCAACTTACCAATGTGAAAAAATACAAGATTTAGCAGCTCAAAACTTTAAAAGTCGACACATGCCCTATTCCTTTACAGACCAGCAGTTCATTATAGCAGTTGGGAGTGCTTGAAACAGGCATAAAGCCACTTCCCCAGAGCACAGCTGCTTCCATTTTCATAAAAGGATTGAAAATATTTCTATACAGCCTGGACTAGTGTACAAAACATAACACTCCATTTTGCATAATGTAACCTTGAGAAGAAACAATGGAAAAGTGAAAGCTTTTAAAACAGCAGTGTGACTCAACACAGTACAGTCATTAGGGATGGTAACAGAGTAACATTGATACATTTCTCTCAGAGAAACATTGTGTGATATGAAACACATTAAAGGACTGTCTCATACACTAATTTATTAATCTCTGTTAAAGAAAGAGAAACTTTGTGATTTTTTAGGATTCCTAACAATGCAAACCGGTCTTCAGCTTCCTCTTTATGTTGTGTTATTTTGAATGTAGACTGCTTATGGAGCACCATAAAAATCGCCAATCCAAAGCCTGAAGCACTAAAAACACTAAATAAAGCATAACTAACTTGCAGGCAAAATAAATAACAGAGGGAAAAAATAATTCAGGTAAATTATTATTTCTGAGAAAGTTGAAAATCTGCCCTTGTCACCAAACCTTTGGAGAGGTTCTATAGTTCAAATAATAGCGGAGAACTGTCACTGTGCCTCTCATGGACCAAAGTTGAAGGCCATAAATAAGTTTTCTAAATTTATTGATGCAGAAAATAATATCTGTAACAAATACTATCACAGGACTGCTAATAGTTCTTATTTTTCAGTGTTATGTTGGGAACAGTTTTTGAAATCCCACAGCTTTTGTTTGTCTGGCAAATTCAAGTGGGATTTGAAATAAAAAATAGTAACTTAAACAGTTCTGACATCACCAATGAAGAAAAATCAGCACTGAGAGACAGGAGAGCAATGCTAATGATGCAGGGAGATGGACAGAAACCAATTCCATTTTGGACCTGCACTGGCTCCTAAACGCTGTGAGGAATAAGGAGCAACAGAATCTTGTTTCTGCCCTGGAAGAAGCAGTCCTGACCTGTAATTACAGGATTACAGACATTAGAACTGATGAGTAAGAAGATAACAAATTCAGATAGCTCATCTGAGCGGCAATATGAGAACTATGTAACACTCTCAACTCTAGCACTGGCAGATCATTATACTATTGTGTCAAAGACAGAGCTAAAGCCCTGTTAAACACAAGGACTAATTCTTTCTTTAAATGCATGCATATACCTCTTGCCAAAGGAAGTGTGAGATTCTGCCTCAGATTTGTGTATCTTAAGGCAAATTATGACTCCCAGTTAACAACATCAGGAGCAATGCAAAGAGCTTCCAAGGATACCATGCTCTATAACAGACTGCATCTCTTTATCATGCACTTTGTAAGAATCCTCTGTACAAATTGCCTTGGAGTCACAAAATCTCTGAATTAATTACTGAAGCCATGTACTGCAGCTAAACCCACTGTTGGCTTCTGCTTCTTGGAAACAGTCCTGCTGTGTGACAGTTGGAAACATGGGATGCAGCAAGGGCCAGTGGAACCAATTTCAAATGCATGGAAATCTGGGAACAAAACTGTAATGTGATATATCTATCTCCTGAACAATCATACTGGATTTAGAAATGTGTGTCAAGGTTGTCAGACAAATGATCCTTAAGGTCTTTTTCCAACCAAAATTATTCTGTATCTCCACTTTTAAATTACAATAGATTTCTTATTAGAGTTCATAGAATTCTTCTTTCTTGTGAATATTCACATAAAGGATAAGCCTTTTATGATCACAGGTTAAGAGTTCACTTGAGCAGAGGATAAACAATGGTGATATTTCTACAAGTCCATCATTTAAATCTGAACATTTGGCTATAGACTGCTTTAATCTTTCAACTGTAAACTGTATCTAGGGTTTCTGAGTGTAGTCTTATAGGGAAAAAACCAGTTAGAGATGAAATGAAACACTCAGGCTACACAGAATCCATAATGCATTCTCTTCTGATTCCACTTAGCATCATTTCATTAACATCCCAACCTAATTCCAACTTAGCTCATTTTTTCTTACTTCATTTGGGACTGGCTGTCTAATGACATGTAGATATTTTCCCCTCATTTTTGTTGTGTGCAATATTTGAATCATTCAGTAATCTCTGGAAGAACTAAGTATTTGTTAAAACTAGAAGGCACATACCTAAAACAAGTGATGATGTTAAAGCATTTTCCAAATGTAATAAGAAAATAATTTTGTAACTGATAAAACAAAGGGAGTCTGAACACAT